CTGCGTCCCGATTGGTTTCTGATTGTCAGCACAAAGAAGTGACGTAATGCTAAGTATATAAGTTCAACATCCCCGACGGTGCGGTCAGTTGCTGCAAGTTACCATCTTGAATTCTGCAGACAACATTCACAGTTCCATCATGTCGACATCCACCCCATCCAGTGTCGATGAATCCAGAGGTAAGAACGTGTATAAGAATATGATGTTTGCATTGTGCTAAGATTAGCTAAGACGCTAAGACAGTACTAGCTTTCTCAAAACAGTTATTAAAATGAAATAACCATTAAAATTTTAAACCGGCGGAGGATTTGTCCCATTCTTTTGTTCTACACATCGTAACTGATAATGCATTGAATTGCTCATTTGGTCTGCTGCAAAGTTACCATATGATTAGCGGTTGCACCTTAAAGCAGGCGTATGCGTCTTTTACCACCATGCTGAAAGCCTGTATACATGTATTTCTGGGTGTTCTATACCTAGCCAATCATTTTATATGTGGAAAGCCTTAACTTTTGATCGCCGATCGTCGTTGGCCGATGCGTGGCACCACCTATATATGTAGTATACCAACTAGCATTTTTTGAACGTTATTCAAAGACAAAGGATACTTCTAGGCACTGAACTAGGTAGGTACGGCAGATCAATGTGTGACAAGGCCAGAAGGTGACGGCGGATGTTTGTTTTAAAAGTCTGTCGCCTCGATGTTTTCGAGAGGGAAACATGTGTTTGGAGGGAGTTCCATAATTTTGCAGCAAATATGTTACCGTAGAAGGACTTTGAGACAGGAATTTGAACGGTGTAATGGTGTGAACTGGCCCCGTTCACGTAAACAACACCTGACAGCTATTGTTAAGAACGCTGCCAGACCAAAGTATAGCTTCAGTCTCCATCATGTTTACACACCCTTTGAGCCGACTCTAACGATTTCCATTAGTTGCAAAATATTGGATGAGAGGAGCTGATACTAAGTGCGCATTTATTCTATGTCCATCGACAAGTAACAGCGCATGCTTTCTTAAAAATGTGACCAAATTTCATCATTGCTGAAGGTATATATACAGTCAGTAGTGGTGAGAACACTTTGATATGGCCATATTAACGGCACCCAATGCAACTTCAGGGCTGGAAAACAAAACAATTACTCTTGATGAGAAAATCTGTGATATTGACATTTGGTATTTCTCGGCACATTTCCCTCATCATTTTATACTTTTATATTTATATCTATCTACGATGAGTGGTGTTGTGAATATATCTTATAACTCAATGAGATTAGATATTTATAACATGATCCACTGTTCTCTCTACCTGGCCTAGGTATGAAACACCAGAACACTTCTGATGTCCAGGGATCTCACAATGTGGTCATCCAATGTGGAGATTCTCCGACATTCAACATCATCGCAGTGGACAAAGAGCCCCATGAGAGGTGACTCGTATGTTCTTTCTACCGATAAATTTGCTTTCTTACTAGTAATGATCGTAACAATCAAGATCAAGATCAAGCCATAATAGGGTCAATGCAGTGTGATAGGTATTTCTAAACAGCAAATGTTAATGTTAAAATCGTTTGAATGTATCAAAGCATTTATAAAAAACAGAAGAAAGCAGATGTACGCAAAATAGCCGTGTAAATTGATGTTTCTAATTTTTGTCTGCCTCAGCCCCAAAGATGACCATGTTGAGGGAAGAACAACACAAACACTCCTGGCGACACTGGTGGTACTGCTGGCACTGATCATGACTTTTCTTACTATAGTGGTGATGAAGTTAGGTTAGGGATAAGCAACTCCGGAATCGAGCGGGGCAAAGGTTTTCCTCTTTTTCTTAAATTAGAGGAAAACCTTTGCCTTTGCTTGGTTTCTAAGGGTGTAGGGGGCTCTGGATAGAGGTGTGACCCTTTGTTTGTCTGGCATGCTGCACTTTACCCAGTCGAGTGGTCCGGGCACCACTGGTCCTCATCCATCCCCTAAACTCTCACGTGCTGGCTCCAAGCGCCACACCCCGGTACACCGCTTCAGCAGGCGGGCTAAACCACGTGAGGGGGTAAACTGACACGTACAGCGTCACTGAGCTGAGAAATCATTTCCTATTCCTTTATTTATTATGTTTATCGAAGGAAAACATATTATTTTTTACTCTGTTTCCTCTTCCATTCCATACATAAAAGGCCACATGACGTCTGTCACCATGGTAACTGGTGTGGGGTTACATCATGTTGCAATTTTATAGCAGGAGGGATTTAGACTCCTGTCACCATGTACTAATATATGAATGTGTTTGAGGAAGAAGTAACAGAGCAGACCATATGCGAAGATAAACATTACGCATTTGCTTTGCAAATGTTACCGTTCAAGTTTTTTTATTTATTTATCAAATCATATTTACAGGTAGGGGCATAAAAATCAAGGGGACTTAGTCTCCGAAGGTTTACATGTACTCGTGTGTTTCAAAATGTGGTAACGCCACAGCAAGTAATATTTACGGATGACATCAGCGCGCGTTAATTTTCGCCTGATTTTGGAGAAAAAAAAATTTGTTGCCTTCTGACAGTGGTCACCATGCCGAAAATGGGCAAAGATGTCTGTTGCCATGCCGGAAGGTGGATGGTAGATAACTATGAGGAGAGGAGACAAGAAAAGGCTCTGATTTAATGTTTTGTTTCTTGCTTGACGCAGTGATATGTGATGCTGGCTGTGTATATGTGATGTTCCCACTGAATCAAAACCATTTGTACAATGGTATAGGAGTCTTGTTTTTTTCGGCCCGTCTTGTTTTTTTTTTCGCCCGCTCGCATTAAATTTGGAGTCTGCGGAGGATGTCATCCATAAAATTTACATGCTGTGGCCTAACCCATGCAAAATGGATTCGTTTCATCTAGACGCCATTTATTTATCATACTACATGTTGATATAGTCAACGACTGCTAGGGGAATAGTTAAAAAAAGAAAACTAACCCAATCCTTGCAAATTTAAACTAATTCGATCTCTTGAACAAGACGTTTGCTTGAAAATTCGACCAGCCAAACCTTTTTGTGCAGTATTGTATATCTTTATGTGTGGAAAACCTCATACATGTAAAGCTCTGTGTTAAAAGATTATATGTGTAGATATTGTCCAGTGTTATTTATTTTTAAAAGTTATGTATTGACTTTTCTGTGAGCATTCGTTAGTAATTCATAAGTTGTTCTGGAGCTGATAGTAAATAGGAACAACATATCATCAATAACTATGAGCTATTTTTGTGTACTGCTGGGGTTATCCTTTGTGAACACAACTTTATTACAAATGTCCACCAGATATTTGACAAGAAAACAGATACTTGTTGATATCACTTCCTCAGGGACGAGTGACATACATGTTACTTTTTAGTTTGTTTACTTCACTCCACTTTGAATTGTTTATCACGAGACTAGATTATTTTAGATTGCAACTGTCGGTAAATTTTGCACCATTACCTGATCATGTGGGTAGCCTAAAGTTACAAGTTACATGTACATGTAGAAAAACCTATACACTACCGTGAATAGTTTCATAAGTTGGTAAGCCACTCAATGAAGAGGCTCTTTTTACGCAACCAAGTGTATTCAGCCGACGTTTTGGCGACCGTCTGTCACCTTCGAATTCCTCAGGGCTGGTTCACATTGCACTGCAGCACAGGTGTTGCTGCTATAGATGCGTTCCCAAACGCACAATAAAATACAGAATTCACGGTTTCGGTAAACGGTATGTAAAATGCGTCTATAATGGCGACACTTGTGCTTTATATGTTCACCAGTCTTCCCCAAGGAAGGTGGCAGACGTTTACCAAAACATCGGCTGAATAAAACACTTAGTTGCAAAACAAGAGTCTGTTCGTTGTGAACCAGCCCTAACGTTATATGTATAACTCCTTTCAAGGCATCGAAATGTGAACAGAACAAGAACAATGCACGGATAGGTTACCAAAAAGGCGAAGCAATTTCTGTATTACGTCTCCTCATGTGCAATAAACTCTTCTAGCATGTATGGATTTTTTTCATGTCTTGATGTAACATACGATTGCAAAACGTTTAGGCATGTATTTACAAAGAGTAGAACCCACACGACACATTAAATTGTCATCATTGACAAGTTGCATTTATGTCACAGCTATAGAAATAGGTCGACAGGACAATAGTCAATGATATGTTACTTATGATAAAACTAAATGCTTCTACTATGTACATGTAAAGGTGGGAAATGAATAAAACAGGGAACGAACATCTGTATCTGTATCTGTATAGCCGGTATAACCGCCTTTCGGTGTAACACACCAGCTTCGCAGGCACGCGGCGCGGCGGCAGCTGGCTATATTACAGTAGGAAAGAATGAATTCTTGAACACCTCGATCCTCGGTTGATAACTCTGGTACTTGAAGGCATGGCTATTTCTTGTTCTCTTCTGGGCTGGTATTAGGTACCTAGTAACTGGGACGTCCACCAGTTTATTAGTCATTTTGTACATCATGCACAGTCTGGACATTTTCTTCTGCCTTCCAGTGAGGCCCACTGTAGGTTTCTTTTCATTTCCGTGACACTGGCTCCTCTTTCAAAGTTGTTCGTGCAGAATCTTGCAGCTTGATTCTGTATGAACATATAACGTGCTTTACAAAAAATACTGACCGAATTATCAAGTGTTCCAAAAGCATTGCTGTAACACAAACAACTTTAGGTACTGTTGATATGTTTTAACCTTTCTATTATCCTTCCACACTTCAAAAGCTAGATAGCTTTGTATATATGGCCACGTATAACTGTTAATGATAAACCCAGTAAAGGGACTTTGGACTTGTTTTTCTCCTCGAGACGACTGTACGCTAGAGCATGAGAGCGGAAAAGTTTGCTTTACGTCAATTTGACGTCCATTAACGTGAACGACATGCAAATATCTGCGTTCTTATTGGCCCTTAGCTAGCTCTCCCAAATAGGTGGGTTTATAAGCAAGAGCGCTGACGATGTACGTTACAGTCTAGGTAAAAACAATCATGGCCAAATCAACACCAATTCTCCGTCGAAGCCTTTCTGCAGACAACATTCACGACCCCAGGATAGTACCGTCATCCTGTGTGAGTGAATCCAAAGGTAGGGAACATTTGTAGATCGCTGGCTTCTCAGCATTTTTTTTCTAATGCCCGTTGAGAGTTTTCAGAGCAACAAAATAGCTCGTTATTACTTGCATCGCCATTATTTGTTTTCCACTCTATGTTCTAGAAGGATAGCCACATGTATGTATTTATTGAAGAAACCTACGACTGTCAACCTCTGTGGTTAAAGAAATCCAGAGGAGAAAACCTCTGTGAAATATATTTTTTTTAGTTTTTAGAGCAACAAAATAACTCGTTATTACTTGCATCGCCATTATTTGTTTTCCACTCACCAACTAGTATAACTCGTTAGAAAGCACGCACCTTTCCCCCTACTTACGAGGCTGTCCTAGCCTCTAACAGGCTTCACAGGCTAACTCCCCAGGCATGTTATTTCTTCTCTTTCCAAGTAAGTAAAATGTTCCAAATCTTAAGTTAATTCGGCTTCTGCTCTTCCTTAGAAGAGATGTGCCAGGGTATGCCGTCTTCTGTCAACTGGATCATCGGATCTAACAACACCATCATATACACGGGATCTCAGTCAACAGTCAACAACATCACCGAAATAGACAGAGAACCCCGAGAAAGGTAAGGAAACAACTCTAGAGACAAGAAACAACTCTCAGACAAGAAACAACTCTCAGACAAGAAACAACCCTCAGAAATGCAGACATTGTGGGGTCGTGTGGCGTAGCGGCAGAGTGCGCGACTCGGAACTAAGAGTCCCGGGTTCGAGTCCTGACATGCCACCGATCTTGTGCCCTTGGGAACGGCACTTTACACGGCTTTCCTCACTTTGCTCAGGTGTAAATGAATATTGTCCTGTCATGTATTGTCCCCTGTGTTGGTGGCGGCATTAATATATTAAAGTTGAAGAAACTTGAGTGTGTCGTCACCACGTCTGTTGATTACATGTTGGAATAAAAAATGCAGACGTTTGTTTGTTGATTGCTTGGTTTGTTTCTTTGTTGCTTAATTTCTGCATGATTAGGTTGACTCAGGAACGTTTAATTGTCTTAGCATTGTATTACACGGCTCTATACTCGTCGGTTGGTTTCTAAACTTAGTAGTACTTCGTAGTATTTGAAGAGTTAGCAAAAGGAAGGAGGCCTAGGTAAGTGGTGCGAATTTAACGTAACGTTTTTTCGTCTGACTCAGCCCTCAAGATGACAACGATGACAATCTGAGGACACTCATTCAGAAGATGCTACAGTTAGCGGCACGGAACCTACGGGTGGCACTGAATGTTGTCAGCGATTACAGACACCGATTATCTGAATACATTATGTGGATGTTAAGACACGAAGATCTCTTTTAATAATGTCCACATGTATTCTACTTCTGGATACCTGATTTTTGCATTATTTGCATTATTGCATTACAAAATTTGATTAATCTGTAAATATATGTAGTTTAGACTTTCGTCAGGGTGTAGGGGGCTCTGGATAGAGGTGTGAACCTTTGTTTGTCTGGCATGCTGCACTTTACCCAGTCGAGTGGTCCGGGCACCACTGGTCCTCATCCATCCCCTAAACTCTTACGTGCTGGCTCCAAGCGCCACACCCCGGTACACCGCTTCAGCAGGCGGGCTAAACCACGTGAGGGGGCATATATGCACTTGTATTACTTGAACTCTATCGATGGGTTCTAACTTTAAACTGTTTCAAAGTTTTGTAACGTTGTCAGTAACTTATGGTATACAAGTTGAACTTCATGTGAAACTATTTATTGAAGATTCTAACGACTGTCCAGGGGAGTAAACCTCTGTAAAACAAATCAAAGCCGGTAACCCAGGAAGTGTTATGTTGAACACTGGGTGTGTTAAGAAGTAAAACAACAACATACGTTTATTGAAGAAACCTACGACTGTCCAGGGGAGTCAACCTCTGTTAAAGAAATCTGGAGGAGAAAACCTCTGTAGAAAAAACATGGAGACATTGAGCACTGTTAATGTTCTAGAAAGATAGCTACATGTATTATTGCCAGTAAGTTACATATACATGGAACTATTAAATATTACGCCGTTGCCGAGCATTTTCACCTCTCCTAACCTTATAAATCGACTCCTTTTCTCTGTGAAGGCAGTTCTTACAACTCTGTAGCTAATCTGGGGGAACATAATTGCCCACAATAGTCCCGTTCGTCCGAAAATCCTTCGTAACTTCAGTTGTTTACGTGAAGCGATTAAGAAGAAAAACAAATTGTATGGAAAATACGTTAAAAACCCCAACCCCCTAACAGAGAGTACCTACAAAGTATATAAAAATAAGTTAAATCATTTGTTAAAAACTGCCAAAAAAATTACTACCATTGGAAATTCACAGAAGCCTCATCAAACGTGAAACAAACTTGGAACGTTATCAATGAATTATTAAATCGTAGTAATAAACCAAAAGCAGCCCCTCATAAAATCCAAACGGATACTCAAGTTATTACAGAAAAAAATAAGATGTGCGAAGAATTCAATGATTTTTTTGTTAATGTCGGTCCATCCCTGGAAAGTAAAATCCCTAAGACAACGAAAGATCCCCTTGATTACATTAACACTCCGCAAATTAGTCAATTAACGTCTTTTGAACCACCCACAGCTGCCGAAGTTTTAAACATAGTTAGAAATCTGAAGGATTCCGCTGCTGGTCACGACGGACTCAGTACTAAAATACTAAAAATCGCCCTACCTTATATCATCTGCCCTCTTACTCATATACTAACTTTATCTATTCAGAACGGAGTGGTTCCCAAATAAACTAAAATTGCAAAAGTGATTCCTATATTTAAAAGTAACGATTCTACCTTAGTTAGTAATTACCGCCCAATCTCAATCCTACCTAGCATCTCGAAAATTCTGGAAAAACTGATATACAAACGACTTTTAAAACATCTAGACCAAAACGATATCTTTACAAACATCAATACGGTTTTAGAAAAGGATACTCTACCTCAAATGGCACTTATACAACTAATAGATAAAATTTCTTCAGCCATAGATAATAACGAATATACCATTGGGATATTTTTAGATTTGAGTAAGGCTTTTGATACGGTTAACCATTCGATTCTTTTGAAAAAACTCAACAAATATGGCATTAATGACGTCGCACTTAAGTGGTTTACCAGTTATTTATCCGATAGAAAACAGTACGTTGTCCTTAACGATCATTCTTCCTCATGCAAATCTATTAATTGTGGTGTCCCCCAGGGATCGATTTTAGGGCCCCTATTGTTTTTATTATATGTCAACGACCTTGCTGAAGCATCCAAAATTATGTTCTTCATTCTATTTGCTGATGATACCAATCTCTTTCTCTCACATGCAGATTTTGATTCTCTAATTCAACTAGCCAACCAAGAACTAGAAAAAGTTATTACATGGTTCGAAGCAAACAAACTATCAGTTAACATCAAAAAGACTTACTATCTGATCTTTTGTAGTAAAACAAGGCAAATAATAGGAAAAATCCCACCATCCACTTAAAAAACCATATCCTTGTCAAAGAATCTCAGGCTAAGTTTTTAGGAATACTAATAGATGACCGATTAACCTGGAAACCCCACATTGCTATGGTAGTTAATAAAATTTCAAAAACAACCGGGATACTAAGGAAAATTTCACATCTCCTATGCAACAAAACCTTTATCACCATCTATAACAGTCTAATCTATCCTTACCTCACATATTGCAATATCGTCTGGGGAAATGCCTACAAAACCTTTCTACATCCTATATCAATCCTCCAAAAAATTTTCTACGCATTGCCACTGGATCTAATTTCTATACCCACTCTTCACCTCTTTTCAAACAACTTAGAATTTTGAATATTTATGACATTAATAGATTTCAACTAGCACTTTTCGCAGCCCAATATATAAACCATAATCTCCCTGATACCTTTGATGACTTTCTTAACTTTCGTTCACAGATTCACAATTATGAAACTCGTCAACGTTCCCATTTTCAAATTCCCTTACTAAGAACATCTTTTGCCCAAATGTCAGTCAAATACAAATGTGTCACCCTATGGAATGAACTACCACCAGCCCTAAAAAATTCTACCTCCTTTTTCCTGGCGCCGTTCAAACGAGCTCTGAAAAACCATCTGATAAACCATCCAAGCCCCTTGCAGTAATCTCATATAGTGTTCTTTCTCATTTTATCTGATACCAATTATTATTGTTATCATTGTAGCATCATATTCATACACCACCCTACTTCTTTGTCATTAATTTATTACGTATTTGTTTGATCATTCTTATACATTATTTTCCATGTACATGATTTAATCTAAATCATCGATTACATTCTTCTTGTTAAATTTAGAGGGGGAGGGCCTCGTACAAGCACTCCATGCTTCTGCCCTCCTCCTGCACCTATTTTAACTTCATTCTTGTATTATTGCATTATGTTTTTGTTTCAATGTGCAAATAAATAAAATCAAATCAAGCGGCTTTATGGTTTCGAGTCGGTTGCCCATATTTGGTCGTAAAGTGACACGTCATCGTTGTTTCTAATCAATCACCAACGAGGAATTGTATTAGCCAATCAGGCTCAATGACTCAAAAACGTTGCCGTGATGATAACCAATCAGCACCAAGGATACATAGACAAATGACCCTCTGCGCCATGTATCAAAAGCGACTTCTAGCAGTCGATGAAATTATTGCATGTTAAAAAAATCCCTCAAGTACCTGCAATAATTCCATGAACTGCAGGAGGCCCTCATTGACACGTGTGATGAATTGGCATTATGGCGCCTGTGGATGCATCACAGCATCCAATTAACTAAAAAGTGAGGGAGTAAACATTGTAAAGAAGGATGCACGTTCGCCAGGGAAGGAAAGATTCTTCTGGACACCTCAGGCATGAATTATTACACTTCTAGAAGGGTTTGGTGGAAAAAAATGGAACGAAAAGTTTATGCGTTTATGCGTTTTATTGGTGTTTGTTTAATTTTTCGTGATCGTTACTGAACATATTTTCCTTGATTTTGTTCTTGTTATCAGTTCTAAGCGTCCAGAAAATATCTAGATGTGAATAAGGATATCATATAGAAAATATTTCAACAACTAGTTCTATATTCGTTTGCGTTATTTTTACTTTAAACGCTAAGATTTACACCCAATCCTGCCTACAACCATGCATACATACGCATCGAGGATTACGTAACTACCTCGCATGACGTATGCAGCACCTGGACTTAATGTATGTATGTTTTTTAGCCTCGTTATCAGACGATATCCGTTGAGTTGATTGGTCCGCCTTTTAATCGAATTAATGCTCAGCTAAAAACTGTTAAATGGCCATTTTATTGCATAACTTTTATTGCATAAAGAAAGATCATTTATTAGAAAATTACTAACGCGTGTTTTCCTAAATTCATAAAGTTGAATGACGAGGATAGAAAAATTGAAAAAAGCGAATTTGTAAGATGAAAGTCATAATTAAATCATTGTATTTTTCAGGCCTGCATGTGTGATGATTGCCTATTGGCTTGTTGTAAATCTAATCTCAAACTTGATTATCGAATGCAAATTTTGCTTATGATTTACAGGTGGCATGACACATGTGCGTGAAACACGCCTTTAGCTTTCCAAGATGGCGAGTGTGCATGGACGGGAAGAACGAGCTGGGTAAAAATTCCGCCCAGGAAGACGTGCCACGTCCGCTTTGGTGGTAAGTTGTACTTTAAATTGTCGTAGATACTCTCCGGACTATCATAGACAAATCTCCTTTAAGTTAAATGAAGCAAAAAGACATAGGTTTCGGCAATTATCCCCACGAGTTAAAGCTGCACTTAGTTAAGTAACCGATGGAGGCGCATTTGCGTGGTCGATAAAAAAGCACTTTCATTTGTTCAACTGTTTATTTAATTTTTTTGCACCGTAACCACCAATTTCTTGAACACTGGTCAATCAAATTTTATTCAATGAGGGTGAAATTAATGATCCTGAAATAGGAAAACTACACCAATCTTAAGAGGTGCACTTTGTAAGTTAACTTAGTGTACTTTACATGTATTTGGTTGTCCCCAGTTCAAGCAGTTCAGTGTTTGACCACATATTTTATGACAACATGTTTTCAGATGGATGTGCCTGTGGGAAAAGTTATCATATGAACTGCTGTTTATTACATAAGTACTTTTGAGATGGATTTTTCACTTGATGTAAATTGTTATGTTGCAAGTCTTTGCAAAGCAGTCTTACTTAACTTGCTTAATTACCTTAGATTTAGAAATGCTGTTGACACTATTGCCTAATTACTGTTTTATTCGTGTATACAAGC